TGACTTTACACAGAATACTGTCATTAGATGTCAGTCTCAAAGTCCTCAGGAGAAAACAAGGAAGATCTGTTTTTAAGTCAATGCTATGTTTGGCCTCTCTCACTGCAGATAAAATCAATATACTGGCAATTGGAGTTACTTATTCCTAAGTAAAAATTTATTAAGTGTGTAATATTTAATGACACAACCCAAAAACTTGCAGGGCAATATGGGAAACATGTTCAGGCACTTAACAGGTAAACAAACCACAGGTTATTTAAAACTACTGAAATACTGAAGCATAGAATAATACCAAGTGTTTAAAAGCTTTACAAACACCAGTAAGATGCTTTTTAACAGCTGGAACATTGTCTTTAGTGGCAGAGATCACAACAAATTTGTTGTGACAAGTTGAGAGATACTGCACACATATAAGATGTCATACATGGACAGTAATCTTGTTTTGACCTATTCCAAGTCCTCGTAGCTCTAAATCTTGCATCTTCTTAAAGCTCACCTGGCCAGTCATATTTCAGATATTCACACAGCTCTCTTCCTTACATATCTGATTTTATGTCCCATGTTTCTACAACCTTCACTCCCAAAATTATTGGTCGCTATTGATCCAATTAACTTCTCCGAATGCAGACACTTGCACTGTAAGCAATACTGACATGGGTTRTAACAACTCAGAAAACTGGAAGTAACAGTCCTTGCTATTGACTTAGTCAAGGTGAACTCAGTGRTGTCTTCTTTCCTGACCCCGAAAGGCTTACTCCAAAGGATTAATTTAAAATGATGTTGCAGCAGACTGTAGCCAATTTAAAACATGAGGATTTTTGCAGCAGAARCTCACCCATTTCTTTCATAAGTAGGACATGTAGAGAAGTGCATTTATTCTTATTATAACCACTATTATGGTAGTGCAGTATTTGAGTAACCTACCCCAAGGGTATGCTATGCTTTCCAATTCACACTGACTACAACCTCCCMTTTATCACAGGAATCCACAGAATACTCTCCTTTACATGAACTCTTCTAGCTTCCTTTTAAACTACACTGAAGTACCTTCCCTTCTTCCCATAAAATAATATACACAAAAGACCAAAGAATTGAAATTAAAAAATCAACTCTAATATATTAGAGTGTCAGTTTATGCCCACTGCTCTAATTTTTTTTATTWGCTTATCCTCTGTCATGGAGCACAAAAAAAAAAAAAAATAGAAAATCAACACTTCATATCTTCTTTTGTTAGGCCAAACAAGTCAAGTTCTTCTAATTTTCCTTTGTCAGAAACACTTTTTTTCAGTAGTAATATGTTCTTTCCTTGCCCAACAGTTTCTTACCATCTCATTTGCCAAGCTGCCTCTCCACTTCATATTTCACTGATAAATGCAATCTACTAAATTCTTTGYATCTGGGGAATCAGCTATCTCTTAAAATGGAATACCAACACTAAAATATTTAGCCTTCCTTAAGCCTCAACAACAATTTACTTGCAATTACACTGCCCTTGGAACAAGTGAAGAAAGTTTCTGAAAATCTGCATCTATCCACGTTTCAGTATTTATTCCAAGTATTTATTCTTATAAAAGATCCAGTAATTAGGTGTATAGAGTATCCTCTAATTCYACAAGGCACTGATGGTTAACAGCAAGCTGGGTGAGAAAGCAGCATTTCCTCACCCATCATACCCCGAGTTATGTAATCCACCAGCTGCAGTGCACGCTCATAGCATCAGCTCACAGCCAAAATGACTCTGCTGACCTGAAAGGACACTTTGAACTTCTGTTGTACCTTCCTTGACATAAACACATGAGCTCTAACAGATAACCCACAGTAAAGTTGTTAGTACACATAGAAAATGAAATTAAAACATCCTAGAGACAGGAGACAGCAAGTCTCCAAGACATTATTTCCTTCTGTTCCTCACCATCAAGCACGTGTGACACCCACTTGACTCAAACAAGGATGTTTATTGTTTGCCCACTGAAGCTGCACTTCCAGAATGCAGCTATGAATGCTGCACTTGAAGTTTTCCAGAAATACAATTTGTCCTTGCACGCTTGGCTTTATGATTTTGGGAAAAGCAAGGATATCTTTCTGAAAGGCCCACACTCACTGTGTGCCGGCTGAACTGTGATTCTCCTCCTCCCCAGCACATGCTTTGCTCAGGAGTATTATGGAAATGAGGGCTTGTTTCCAAAATGGCATCCATCTGTTTTGTTTTTTTTTTAGCTCAGACATATTTAAAAAAACAAACAAAATCCCAGCGTAACAGCCCTCGGCATCGGGATGGAGATGGTTTGCCAGCTGATAAGGTTAGGAAATGCTGCATGTTTGCACAGCACCTCACAAGTGGGGCTTTAAAGTCTTAYTGCAGAAAGATAGGTGATAAGCAAGTAAAACAACGGAAGCTGAGTCCCAAAGAACTCTTAATTGCCTGGGCTAACTTTACAAAAATGTACAAAATTGGTTTCTTTTTGTAAGTAATTTTAGAGGAATCCTCAACACAACTGGTCGGCCCACGCACATACACACACTAGTGTATTTATACACGGCCCTGCAGGGGCCTTTCACAAGGGGAAATTTAAACAAGAAACAATGAGAAACACTTCACTATCCCATTTGGAATAGAATGATTTGGGTTGGAAGGGGACCTTGAAAAAACACCACCTTGTTCCACCCCTCTGCCATGGGCAGGGACACGTTCCAACATCCCAGGTTGCTCCAAGCCCTGTCCAACCTGGCCTTGGACATTTCCAAGGATGGGACAACCACAGCTTCTCCGGGCACCCTGTGCCAGGGCCTCACCACCCTCACACGGAAGAATTTCATTCTTATAAATAATCTAAACCTGCTTTCTTTCAGTTTGAAGCCATTCCCCCTTGCCCTGCCACTTCAGGCTCTTGTAAACAGTCTTGCCCCATCCTTCCTATGAGTTTCCTTCAGGTACTGGAAGGCCGCAATTAGGTCACCCCAAAACATCCTCTTTTCCARGCTGAACAATCCCAATTCTCTCAGGATCKCTCAAAAGAATCTCATTTCTTCTCAGGGTGGCGTATCACGCCCCCACTCAATCTCACTAGGAACCAAACCCCAGCACAGCCAACACCACAGCCGCCCCCCGGCCCCGGACCCGAGCCGGCCGCAGGCCCCGGGGCGGAACACGGCGCTGCGCCACGACAGAGCCCCGCAACCACGGTGAGGGGCCGAGCGGGAGGGGGCGGCAAGGCCGGCCCGGCCTCACGGCGGTACCTGGAGCGGGTGCGCCTTGCTGAGGTGCATGTTGAGGGCCGGGCTGTTGGGCAGCACCTTCCCGCAGCCGGGCACGGTGCACAGGATGTTGGTCCGCACTTGGGACAGCTCTGTCACCGAGGGCCGCACCAGCTCCCCGGCGGGCGGCACGTCCCTCACGGGCGCGGGGGGCCGCCCCAAGCCCCCGCCACGCCGCCCGGCCGCCGCCGCCATGTTGCTGTCAGCTGCTCGGCCCCCGCTCCGCTTCCGGGGGACGCGGCCAATCGGCGGCGCCGCYGCTGAATATTCATGAGGCACGTGGCGCGGCCCCGCCCCCGCCCGCCAGCGCCCCGCGGCGGCGGCTGCGAGCGGTGCGGCCGTGCGCGGGCTCGTGCGCGCTCCCGAGCGAACCCCGCACGGTGCGGAGCGGGGGCACCGGGACACGCCGGGAAAACCGCGAGTGTCACCCCGAGCGCACACCGCGCTCAAGCGGCTCCGCTGCACGGCGGAGGGGCTGCSTTCAGTGTGTTGCGCCGGGAAGTGGAGACGCAGGCACTGATTTCTCTGCTGAGCAGTGATAGGACCTAAGGGAATGGCTGGAGATCCGGTGGGAGGGTGAGGTTGGATGTTAGTAAAAGGTTCTTCAACCAAAGCGTAGTCAGGCATTAGAATGACTTCCTGGGGAAGTGATCACTGCAGCAGTCTGACAGAGCTCAAGCATTTGGAAAATGGTCTCAGGCACATGGTGGGCTTGTTGGAGTGTCCTGTGCAGGGCCAGGAGTTGGACTTAACAATCCCTTATGGGTCCCTTCCAGCTCAGAATATTCTGTGAGTTACCTGTGTTGGAACCATTAACACGACAGGTAGAGGTTCTTCCCCTATAGCTGGTCAAGGAAAAAGATGTACAAATACCTTTTATGGGGTAAGAGTTATACCATGGCCCCAGGATGTGTTCCTTCTACAGCCCCTGTGCCCTCAGCTGCATGTGTTCTGCTGTTTGGGATTATCATGGGACGCTTAAAGGTCATCTAGTCCAACCCCAAACTGCCAACTTGCTGGAAGAGACCAACTAGAGTGGGGACAAGTTTGGTCTCCACATTCCCCTTTGCCTTACTTTCTCCTCATCTCCTCAATGGGAACAGATGCTCAGCAAGACTGAACCCAAGAGCTGCAGCTGCATTTTCTGACCAATGAACAAATMCACAACTCCTTGCCTGGAAATGCTGCGTAGCTCCTGGAATATCCCTGCTTACAGTAATATCGAGATCAAACATCTCCGAGAAACAGAGATACCGAAAAAAGGGATGTTAAAAAGGGATGGAGACTGCCTTTCCCAGAAACAAGAGGCAGTAGGCCAGGTACTCAGAGTGTTACTAGAGCATTTGGGAACTCTACCTTTATGGTAAATCATTGTCATGTCAGGCATTTAGGTTATTTGGGAGAGAGCATTATGAAGAACACATTGCACAGAATGAAATGCACGCTGGAATCTTAATGGATCTGCATCCTGGAAGTATGAGTGAGACATGTTAAGCGCCAAGTCTTAATGTCTATCACACCAAACCTGGAATTCTTCCAGAATYCTAACATTATGTTAACTATTTTGTCAAATCAGCATTCCACAGGTGGAATTCCTAAAATCCATACTGCCAGCAGATAGTCCTAAACTAACCTCTTTTCATATGTGAATTATAGAGATAATGAAAACCAAACAAAAAATCAGTATAAGTGATAAGAAATGTTTTCAAGTTAGGCCTAACTTTTATGAGAAGACTTAACTCGTACATTTATTTACAGTCTGAAAACAGAAATGTGCCCATACAACCTATCAAAATACAGCTGCTTCCGCACACTGAGATATTGAAAGTATATTGGTAATTCCACATATAAAAAAATCGTCCAGATAACACAATTAAAAAGAAACACTTGTACATTTTAACTGAATCTTCAGATCAAATCCAGCTGAAAAAAAATTGCAGCAAGTATCTATACAATTACCAACATTTAYCAACTCTAAAGAACTCCAATGCAAAGCTGTTTGCACTTGTGACTGTTGCCATCTTGATTCCATAATCTTTGTCCCCAAGCAGAAAAGCAGTGGCAACATGCAAGGATTTCTGAAGGATCAAATATTAATTGAGATATTCTAAAACATGTCCTTTCCATGAAAGAAAACATTGCCTCTTTGTCTTCTTCCAAGATAAAAGTTTYGTAAGACATTAATAGCAACAGGCAGATTTTCACATATTTGTTCCTGGATGTTGCCCTTGGTGAGAAAGACTTTGGAAACTGAATTAATATCTCCCAAAGGTGGATGGAAGCTTCTYACTGACATCTGTATTCCAAAAGTCCATTCTCTCCCATACCCTGTAACAGTCTTTGAATACAATCTTCATCTACTTAGATAAAAACATGTGTGACCCACAGACAAGGAGCCCCACTCATCAATGGGACCATTTACCTGTTCCARATAGGGCAGGTGTTCTGTCCAAAATATAAAAGGCCACCTGGAATATCATAGCCATCTACAGCTATAATAGCAAACTGAATAGCTACAGTTATTATTGTGTCTTTATTAAGCTTTAACTTCACAAATACTATTAAAAACCCAGTTAGGAGAATTCATCATGTTTTAATTYAAAATAACCACCATCTCTGTTTAAACTTTGAAATTAACCTTTTTTTATTAGTTAAGGGCTAACTTCTGTTAAAGACAACGGTGGAGAAAATTCAAGGAAGAGCCATAATCTGGAAAAATCTTTAAGGTATTAACAAAGAATAAATTGGTKTCTTAAAGCTTATGATGATTTACATTAATACCAATAATAAATGAGTTGCATATTTCTCTATGAATCAGTTTCAAATCAAGGGCTTACAAAATTTTCTGGATATAAACACTTTTTCTCTCTAATTTTAAAGTAATTCCTAGCTTTTTGTGGTATGCATGTAAGGAGTGGTGAAAGTGGTGCATCAGCCATACCTGGAAMAACAGAGACAGATAACAATAGCTGTAATTATTCAATATTATTTATCCTTCATAACTGTTATTAAGTTGAAATACAAAACTAAACCACTAAAACYAAAACCACAGCTTGAGTATCCATGTATAAACTAGTAATTSTAAGAAAAAAATCGTTATATACTTRGACATAAGTTTTTAAAGAGATAATATTTTTATTCTACTATGTTTCSTTTTCTAAACAAACTATGAAGTTGCTCCCTTATGCAAGATATAAGCAGAGTGCAAGATGACAACAATACTTAAAACTGGATTTTCCCCTCAATTTTATGGAGTTGGAACACTTACCTGCTGGTGCCAAGGCTTTCAGTGATTCTAAAAGATCTGGACTGGAAAACTTGACCAAACACCTGAATGGCTCTTTTTTATCCAGAACATCCATTTTAGGATCACTTTTAAACATCGTCTCAAGCTGTTAACACAAAATTTAACCAGTGAATACAAGCAATGAATATATCTTATTTATATGTTCATTACATATTACATTTAAACCTTTAAATAAGACTTTTTCCAGTTTGTAATATTAACATGTTTCCAGCTGGAGGAATGTTGTAGTAAAATCAGAGGGTGCCACCATGTGGCAGAGAGTTTTCTGCTGAAAGCAAGAGGCAGCTTGTTCAGTAATAYTGTAAAACATTAGGTACCTCTTAGAATTCAATATATCTGTTCATGAAATAAAACCTGTGCATCACCAAGAAGTCAGTTATGGYRTTACCTTCRCATGTACTTAAAATAACCCTAATTTCTCATGTTCTAAYCAAGTGCTGGTTTACCTTTATTACAAAAAGAAGTCAAAATACTGAAAGACTGAAACATGATCTAAAACTCTGACCATATTTCAATGGAAATCTGTTTCTTAGAGAGACTTTTAACTTGTTTATTTTAAAATGTATTCCTTAAAGTTTTAAAATAGTATTTTTTAAATTTGAAATTTAATCCAACTACCACTACAAAAAAATTACAAAACCCCAAATCAAATTGGTTGTTTTTCCTACCCTATATTGTGCAAATTCGAGTTTTGGTTGGGGACCATCACCAAAAACTTCCCGGTTCAGTCTGTGAATTCTTTCTTTCTCACTTCTGTTTTCTTGAACTATCCTTATATCTGCTGCAGAGGAGAAGAGTAGGGAAAAGAAAACAAAAAGACAACATTGTCAGCGGCTGCAATACTGTCTTTCTGATCAGATTATTCCAATGAAAATTTGAATAGTTTTAATGAATTCATCACATTCTTTTTTTTTTTTTTTAATAAGGTAGTTGTCTCTACCATTTATATTTTCAGTTCTGCCAAGAGAAAACCACAAACTAATGTGAGATGCTGGGCATTGAGTGGTTTTGGCTTCCATATCCAATGTGAGCTATGGGAAATACTGACCTGTCCCAGTGCCAGCCAGTATTAAGGCACCAGGGATGGAAAACTTAATGGGAATGGAGCATTKGTACATTTCCTATAATGAATCTCATTTCACAAGCCAGCAGTAAYGACATTCAAACTGCCATTACATTTCAAATATACATACCATTTTCTGGTTCTACATTTCCTCCATGCAGAGATTTTGGATAGTTAGTTTGGAAGTTCTAAATGCAGAGAGAGAGAGAGAGAGGGGAAAAAAGATTTTAGTTCACTTCCACTTTCAGAACCTCTRGCTGAAAAGAACTTTAAAAGATTTCTTTCTATTTCATTTCTGAAAGAATGATCTTCCAAATTTTGACCATTACTAGAMATCTGAAAGCCAACCTAATCTGGAAAAAAAAAAAAAAGCCTGTTGTAGGATATTTGGGCACATTTCCCTATTTACAAGTTTTACATGGATGAGCAGACTAAATACCCATTCCAACAGCCTTTAACTCACAGCTTTAGAAAGCCTAATGAAAGGATGCTAAAAAAGCTTAGGACTGAATTGTTCATATGATTTTTAGTATGGGTTTAGCCATGAGGAATAACAATAATTAAGAGTGGGTGGGATACCAAATAATTACATCCCCATTTTGATGTTACCTTCATGAAAGGCTGTCGACCTCAGTAGTTCAATATTATTTTAACTTGATGRTGTCTTGGAAAAGGTGAACTTTCCCCCTTGCTAGGGGGTGAGAACTAGGCCTGAAACAAAAAGCAAGACTTATCTTAGGATTTACTTGTGAAGTGGCTCACCTGGCTATATCTCTTAAACACAATATCTTTAAGGGAGTTTAAAGAATGACTTCGAAGCTCCATTTCACGGATGTCATGGTAATTGGAAGCAACAATCAGGGCCTTTAAATAAAAATTGAAATTGTTTTAACATCAGTCTTAATCATCACTTTGTARTAAATTAAAAACATAGTATTTCTAGATATTGTGATGTTTTTGTTTCAAGGTAAGCAACTGCCCTTAAACTAGCAGGATTTTCATATCTGAAAAAATGTTGCAGRGATTGTTATTAAGCTCAGGTTAATAATTATAAACATTCACAGTATTAACAAGCTAAGTCCCATAGTCTCCTCAGCTGAAAAATAAACAAAGAGAATAATAAAATACTTTAATTACTACTAGAGAAATTTGAGAAAATTTATAAATAGAGACAAAAAGACTACCAAAGCTGATCATGAATTAACAGAATTGAATAGCATTCCCTGATGAGCTCTCACTTCCATGACAATTTAACAGAACACTGCCCAAGACGTGGTTGTGGTGCAGCCAGGGCCTAAGCAGTTTTTTTCTGTACCTGACATAGCAGAGGCAAGGTGCTCTTCAGCACTGAGGCAGAAATGAAGACATAGGGAGTCTGTGAATGGTACACAACGTAGCTGGGCTTGTACTGGTTTGGTTTTTTACATGGTGTTCCCCAGGCAACTCTAATCCAGATTGCATTATCCTCATATTCCTTAAAGGTGATGGTGACCTGAAAGGAAAAGARAAGCTTTGATTTACCAACACATTTAGGTGTCCATGAAGGTTTTGTTATGTCTTGACATTTGTGTTCACAAAACCCAAACACACATCCACATCCACTGTGTGAATAAGAAAAAAAGAAACCCACTAGTGTGATAAGGATTGCATTTAAATAAAATTTCCTCACGAACTGGGATAAAAAGAATCATCTTTCAAACTCTAATATTGCCTTTCTTCCTATCAATATACATTTTCCTATGAAGGTTGAAAATAGAAAACAGCTTATTAAAAAGCACTAATTTCTCTTTTTGGAAAACAACAACTCACAGGGATGTCTGTTTAGAAGGAGGGCTAGTGGCAATAATTCCAATATGTCTATTTTTTGAGAAACTCAACTTTTGATCAACCTGTGATCTTAGACCTGAATATRATATTTATCACTGCTCAAGAACACACCATCAAAAGTCTGAACATTTCCTTTCTTATTCTTATTGATTTGGGCCTTGTTTACTTCTTTTTACCTTGACTAAGAAGGGTGACTTTAAAAAACCCAAAATAACACAAAAATACTGCAAAACTTCATTATAAGAGAGTGATGTGAGTGAAGCTGATTGGCTGTGTGATTTATATTTGTTACCCTCCCCTGTTGTCAGTGGGAACCTGCTGGCTGTCAAGGAGTGAGGAGTGACACAGGCAATCAGCCAGAGGCATTTTCTGTTATCTTGCCCAAATGAAGTTGGTGAGGTAAAGCAAGGAAAGGCTCCTGCAAATTGGGCAAAGATTTGGTAAAAAATCATGAACATGCTGCCTTTCTTGAAGTCATTCACATTTTAAAACAAACTTATATTTTATTTCCTTCCAGCAAAATTGTGAAGTTACTAAAACTGATATGTAACACATTTTCCCTATTTCACATGCAGTTCCTATGATTCCTAAATGAATAATTTAATTTTTKACTCAAACGGTAAGGAAAAGTTATGAAAACAACATATTGACACCAGAGCTGTGAAGCAAATTTAGAATGGATTTATGCTTACATTTTTCAAGGCTGACCGAAGTCTTCCTTTAAACTTCTTTTTGAAATCTGTTATGTCAAAATATTCCAATTCTTCTCCTGTTACATGAGACAAAAGAAAAACCAACCAGAAATAAGATTTGTGTGGACCAGAAGTAGTTTAAAGATGTTTTTAGTTTTGCTGGAACAAAATTAAGCAGAAAAAGCTGAAGTTGCATAACCTTATATAAAAAGCTGTATGCTAACTCTGACCCTTGTTATTGCTATACAGAGAAAAGGTTATTATTTAATTAGTAGTTACTGATGTCTAATAATTGCTTGAGAAGTTAATGGAAAATATTCTAAAAACATTAATGATAATCTCCATTGAAAAAACCCTTATTAGGCTGCAGTAAAATGTTAAAAATATCTCCACAGAAAAAAACCATGTGAGACTACATTTGTGTTTAAAATGTAGGATATGAGGCAGCATAGTACTAARTTGCTGATAAATGTGGGATTACAGCAAGGAAAGTCATTTTACCTGTTTTTTTCATCTGGTAAACAYTCCACATTCTTTTGTTTTGGTAGATGTGGTTGTCTAGGAAAAATAGGAATTGCTCAATAACATAGTGTATTATTGATCAGTAATTAAAGRACCAAATTTACAATACTTTTATGGACAGGTTACTTAAAAAATAYTACTTTTGWTAATGCAATATAATTCATTAACATTTTTTAATTAGCACTCATAGCAAACATAAAAGAAAAATAGTGTTTTTATTAAAAGAGATGTAAAGTTATTTGTAATTTATTGRGCAGCTAATAAAGGGCATCCCCGGATTCAGTGTTTAAGGAAGAGTTTTACCTAAACTGACCAAAAGTCAAACATAAGATGTGCAGATTGTTAGAAGAATCCTTGAGGTTTAAACTATTGCATAATYAAATTGTGAATTAATATTGGAATTATGATTTATATGCTTTTGTTGATCTTGAGCTTTTCATAAAAGAGGTCACAACCAATAAGATTCATCTAAAAAGTTATGTGCTTATCCCAAATGCATCTGCACCACACTAGGGTAATCACTATGTAATTAAGGGCATTATCATCTTCCTCAGAAAACGTAAATGTCATTGTAATTCACTTTTTACTTACAAATGATGTCCAGAAGAGCTGCTTGCTTTAWGTCTGCCGAATTTGCCTAGAAAGAATAACAGTGCATGGTGAACTAGAGGTCCAGAATGCTTGAACACACTTTTTGGCAAGTGAAAAATCTCAGTTACTGGTAGTTTCAATGACGTTGCATTGAAGCCCACAGCACACAGACCCCTCCTCAATGACACTGCACCTGATCCCAGGTTTTGAAAAATCAATAATGAAAACTGTTTCAGTAAGGTTTAAGCGTTCCTTTGCAGARGCAGCAAGAGGAACATTGTCTTTATAGTATGATCTACAAGCAATTAGAAAGAAAATTAACGGATATTCGTGACATAATACAACACTGACTAGTATTTCACTGTCAGGGTTTTTAACATAATTGGTTRCTCCTTATTTAACCTTTACATCATGAAAAGATTTAAAAAAACTGTATGACACAATTTGTTACAGATACAAGTGTTTCAGAAAAAATGCTATTTTAAAATATGACATTTGCTATCTCATTAGAATAACTTATTAGTTTCTTTCTTGTAGTTTGATCTACATTAAGTAATCTTTGAGTATGAAATTCAAAGAGAACCATATCAAAAGCTGTAATTCAAGATGTATCAGTAATAACTGTATCTATCTGGGTTATGATATTATATATRAAGACTCCCAGTACACCAAAATCAGAGTCAAAGCAGATAATTTTTTTGCTTACAGCATGCTGAATAGAAGTAATTCTGGCCAAGGAAATTTTTCTTAAAA